TTATCATGCACATTGTGTAGAGAGTTGTCACTTTGGATGGGCTATTACCAGCAGGAGAGTGAGTTTGTGTGTGGGGGGGTGGAGGGTGAGAAAACCTGGATTTGTGCTGGAAATGGCCCAACTTGATGATCACTTTAGATAAGCTATTACCAGCAGGACAGTGGGGTGGGAGGAGGTATTGTTTTATGATCTCTGTGTGTATATAAAGTCTGCTGAAGTTTCCACGGTATGCATCCGATGAAGTGAGCTGTAGCTCACGAAAGCTCATGCTCAAATAAATTGGTTAGTCTCTAAGGTGCCACAAGTACTCCTTTTCTTTTTGAAAATTTACAGTGAAAACCCTGTAGCTGATTTCACAAAATACAATATATGTCTGCATATCTAATATCAGAATCAGGTCTAAAGTTCATTGTGTCACTGTCAGTGTGTTCTTGTAAAGGCTTCTGAACTCAGCTGATAGTTTTCCAAGCCAGTATACGGTTGTATGTGAAACCAGATATAGGAACAGTTAAGTGGCTGCAGACTGGAACAAAAGTTTCAAGCTGCCACTTACAAAACCAGATTAATGAATGGAGAGGCTGTTAGAAATGATAGTTGAAGATATGTATAAGGGAGCTACTTTACTCCAAATTAATGCCAACATTTTGGAGGCTCATCTCGAAATATCCAAACTCAGCATCTTCACTTTTCACTAGTTGGTTCAAACATTTTCCATAGTATTGACCTATGTTGTTTACCCCCACTGAATTTCACTTTAAGCTTTGGATCTGAAGAATGACAAAAGCAAACTTAGTTGAAATCACCATAACAATGAAAATTTGTGAATTTTAATATGACTTAATTGCAAAAGGAAAAGCTAACCAGTTTGCTACTGTTCACTTATGAATGCATAATGCTTAGCAAACATTCTAATAAACTTGTGTGAGTAACTCTTTATTATTGTTAGTAATAAGTGTCTGCATAAAACTCCTCTCCAATGTGATATTATGAGAACAGATCCATTTTAGGTCCTGATTCTGCAGCGGAATATCTCATGTGAGTAAGTTTTACTCAGTGGGAGTGTGGGTTGCAGAATCAAGCCCTTAAAAGGGAAGAGAGGCATCCTGCACTGGTAGGAGAAATGATAACAACACATTATTTTTTCTGAGATCATTTGGAGAACTGCAGAATGAGGGCTGCTATGTGTGATTATACAAAATGCCTTCCTCGGGGTCCTTAAGATCAAAGTAGGAGCTGCAGCCTGCCTGGTTTTCAGGAGTCCTTTATTTCTGCCATTCTGCCAGTGGACAATATGCGACAGCAATGGTGGGAGTCAATGAGTCGTGGATAATTTGGTATTTCTGCCGTTCTTTTGCTGAATATTTTTCTCTCATTCTCTTTACGGAATTATTGATTTTTAAAAATGCATGAAGTTCTTAAAGGGGCATGCTCTTCTATTTGGCAACTTAAAAATTAACTTCCTCTTCCTCATTGTGCCACCATTTCATGCATCTCAAACTCAAAACCATTCTGTTATAAAATCTTGCTGTAAGGAAACATCCAATATATCTTGTGATTAGCCTCATATTGTAGAATAAGGAATAAGTCAAAATCTTTTCATGAAAAGATCTGGATGTGTACAGCATTATAGACTTTCAGACATTTACCAAGCCAGATTCAATGCACTTCTATGCAGAACTACAATCTATACTGGCACGGGGAGTGTGGGGGTGGGGGGGGGAAACAAACAAAGTTAACTGAATCAGATAGGTTTCAGAGTAGCAGCCGTGTTAGTCTGTATTAGCAGAAAGAACAGGAGGACTTGTGGCACCTTAGAGACTAACCAATTTATTTGAGCATAAGCTTTCGTGAGCTACAGCTCACTTCATCGGATGCATTCAGTGGAAAATACTGTATTTTGCACTGAATGCATCCGATGAAGTGAGCTGTAGCTCACGAAAGCTTATGCTCAAATAAATTGGTTAGTCTCTAAGGTGCCACAAGTCCTCCTTTTCTTTTGTGAATCAGGTACAATAGTGAAAACTAAAAAGTGTGAAAAGCCAAACAAATGTACTGGTGTGCAGCTGTCACACTGCCTGGATTCACTTTTACTTCAATGTCAAATTGCTGAATGCTGGTGCTCAGAGAAATGACAAAGCTACAGTGAAGCTTTAGGAGGAGAGGACAGCAGTTTTGGTCTCATGGACTTCTAGAAGATGAGAGGTGGTCACTACAAGCAGCCAGAAGAAAGAAAAGGAAAAACATAAGACCCCCTAGAGGGCGCACATGGAAGAAAACAGTAACAAGAAGTAGCAAAGGATCATCCTTTATATCATTTTGCATGAACCCAAGATAAATGAAATCATCCTTCCTCTTTAATCCCAGATAGATATACATGTAGTTCCCAAAGAAGCAGAATAAATGGTTTAAAGTTCAAAGAAGATGATCTTTGGGCATCAGATATATTAACACTGAGTAGGCATAGTTAGACACACTTTAATTATGGATCTCCAATAGAGGTTTAATTTATTTATTTATTATTTTTGATAATTTATTTATATATTATTTTTGATAATGTCTTGCAAGAGACTGTTAAGGAAATCTGATAACGTAGTAAACAACAGGTTCATTCAAGGTTAATTGATAATCTGAAAGATGGGCTGGATGATCACAGGAGCTGGTCCCAACCCTTCTATTTAGGTTTCTTAACATTTTCCATTATCACATTTTTTTTCCTTTGAGAAGCTGTAATGCCCTCCCTTATTTTCAAGCCTTTGATATTTGACAGGAGGAAAGTCTTCAGGCTCGAAAACTGCCCTTTCTTTATGCAATAAAATTACATGCAGGTTTAGCTGATCTAGAAACTGGTAAAAAACATCATCTTTTCCCTTCACTCACTTGCATTCCTCAGGAAAATTCCAGCAGCCTGACAAAATAACAATAAACTTGAGCCAGGCCCATGTCACCACCAAAGCAGCAGCACGCATTGTGCTGGGAATGGCTAGGTAATGATAGATCAGTTGTGTGGTGGCTGTGGGGATCCTGTAGGCCAGGGATCAGCAGCCTTTGGCACGTGGCCCGTCAGTGAAATCTGCGGCCGGGCCGGTTTGTTTACCTGCAACGTCCGCAGGTTCGGCCGATCGCAGCTCCCACTGGCCGCAGTTCACCATTCCAGGCCAATTACAGTGATAACTGTGTACACTTGGCTGTTGAATTTTGGGAAACATAATAACAGCCAGTAGTTACTTTAGCTGTCAGTTTCTTTTCCTAGTGAAACAGTAATTAAAGAATATAAAAACAAAGCACCTAAATTCTGCATAGAAAATAAATAGGCAGGCAGATTGAGTACTAAGTATTGATTTCTGAGAACAAGCTTTACAGTTAGTTTCCTTTCCCCAAAGATATGCCTCCTGTACACTCTTATTAAAAATTATTCGATCATTATGACCCAGTTTTCCAAAACAAGACATCCCTAATCCTCCCATAACTAAAATTTGACCACCAGCCATACCCATCTACTTATTCCTTCCCTCCTTTCCTCAACTGACACTACTCAGAGAAAGCATGGCAAAAAAACAGGCCTGGCATCATATCTTGAAGGACAACAGACAAGGGCTCTGGTGAACTCACAATATTATCTACACATTTTTTCCATGTATTTCCTTCATCCTATCAGCAGAACCTCTGAATCACCAAGCAACCAGTTTGCCCCTATCCAAGCCCTAATCCAACAAAACTCTAGGCAAGCCATGCAATTGCACCAGTCAGATCTGACAAACAAGAGATATAGAACTGAGCATGATCTAATAATGGAGATATTATAGTCCATACAACATGGCCTTCTCATCTCCTCCATCAGTCTCTCATACACATTGCACAGGAAGGGCGACAGAATGGAGCCCTATGATACCTCATGTGAGAGAGCCTCAAAGCTGACAGCCATGGACACAAACCAAGAAAAAATAACTCCACCTATCCTGGCCAAGGGCTGCAGTCATGTGTACACCACTTTTTGGGTCAAAAATATCTGATAGATCTGAAAGCATCAGCACTGGTTCTTGGGTTATGTCATCACCAGCAGCAATCCGCCAACCAACATAAATAAGACACAGTCCATACTACAGCTCGTCAAAATATTGTAAAGATTTTTCATGAAAACTTCTGAAAAAGTCAACATAGTGTTCATTCCATGAGTTTGTAAAATGAATAATTTCTCATTTATACAGTTTTTATTTCCAAAAATAATCACATTTTCAGTTTCTCCCTTTTCCCTCCTTTCCACCCCTTTTTTCCTTCTCTTCCCACCCCTCCCCTTCTTTGTTTTGTTTTTTTGTTTCTCCATTTTATATATATAACATTCCACTTGTGTTAACTGCTAGGTCACTCCAATCTTCGACTCTGTGAGCCAGCCTTACCCTGCGCCGCTGTGAGAACTCCCACTCCCGGGCTGTTCACACACAGCCTCTAGCATTAAGCTGCCCGCAGCTAAATGAGTGAGCACATTTGGCCAGCCGTTGCTTGGATTGTGCAACCGAATGACACTAGCCAATATCCCCAGACCCAGACACAACCCTAGAGCCTCCATCTTGCAGTGTCCAGTTATGCCCACTGGACGCTGCAAGCTTATATGAGTACATCAATTTAACAAAGAAATTGATATGTACCAGGCTTGTTATCCCAAGGGGAATCTCTGAAATGCTTCAAAACAAACACACTGCTTCAGGTAGAATAAACAAACAAATGTATTAACTACAAAAGATTTTAAGTGATTATAAGTCAAAAAACAACAAGTCAGATTTGGTCAAATGAAATAAAAGCAAAACACATTCTAAGCTGGCAAACTCCTTCTGTTAGCTGCTGTGCTGTTCGCTGCTCAGCTGGTTCACAGCTGACTGGCTTTTTATACAGTCAGGCCCACTTAAGGCTCACCTGGAACAAAGCACTCCCAGTTCCCGTCCTTTTCAAACAACCAATCAAGTACACGGTCAAACTGTCCTCACAACAAACACTCAGATACTCACCAACACAGCCTCCTTAATGCAGCCCTTAGTATACCTCCTCTCAGGCAGATCCCAGGCAAACTCCTTCTGTTACCTGCTGTGCTGTTCGCTGCTCAGCCGGTTCGCAGCTAGCAAGAGATGGTAAGAGTAACAAGAAGGGTTTCTTCAGGTATGTTAGCAACAAGAAGAAAGTCAAGGAAAGTGTGGGCCCCTTACTGAATGAGGGAGGCAACCTAGTGACGGAGGATGTGGAAAAAGCTAATGTACTCAATGCTTTTTTTGCCTCTGTCTTCACGAACAAGGTCAGCTCCCAGACTACTGCACTGGGCAGCACAGCATGGGAAGGAGGTGACCAGCCCTCTGAGGAGAAGGAAGTGGTTTGGGACTATTTAGAAAAGCTGGACGTGCACAAGTCCATGGGGCTGGATGCGTTGCATCCGAGAGTGCTAAAGGAGTTGGCGGATGTGATTGCAGAGCCATTGGCCATTATCTTTGAAAACTCATGGCGACCGGGGGAAGTCCCGGACGACTGGAAAAAGGCTAATGTAGTGCCCATCTTTAAAAAAGGGAAGAAGGAGGATTCGGGGAACTACAGCCTCACCTCAGTCAGCCTCACCTCAGTCAGCCTCACCTCAGTCCCTGGAAAAATCATGGAGCAGGTCCTCAAGGAATCAATTCTGAAGCACTTAGAGGAGAGGAAAGTGATCAGGAACAGTCAGCATGGATTCACCAAGAGCAAGTCATGCCTGACTAACCTTCTATGCCTTCTATGACGAGATAACTGGTTCTGTGGATGAAGGGAAAGCAGTGGACGTGTTGTTCCTTGACTTTAGCAAAGCTTTTGATATGGTCTCCCACAGTATTCTTGCCAGAAAGTTAAAGAAGTATGGGCTGGATGAATGGACTATAAGGTGGATAGAAAGCTGGCTAGATTGTCGGGCTCAACGGGTAGTGATCAATGGCTCCATGTCTAGTTGGCAGCCGGTGTCAAGTGGAGTGCCCCAAGGGTTGGTCCTGGGGTCGGTTTTGTTCAATATCTTCATAAATGACCTGGAGGATGGTGTGGATTGCATCCTCAGCAAGTTTGCAGATGACACTAAACTGGGAGGAGAGTAGATATGCTGGAGGGTAGGAATAGGATACAGAGGGCCCTAGACAAATTGGAGGATTGGGCCAAAAGAAATCTGATGAGGTTCAACAAGGACAAGTGCAGAGTCCTGCACTTAGGACAGAAGAATCCCATGCACCACTACAGACTAGGGACCGAATGGCTCGGCAGCAGTTCTGCAGAAAATGATCTAGGGGTTACAGTGGACGAGAAGCTGGATATGAGTCAACAGTGTGCCCTTGTTGCCAAGAAGGCCAATGGCATTTTGGGATGTATAAGTAGGGGCATTGCCAGCAGATTGAGGGATGTGATCGTTCCCTTCTATTCGACATTGGTGAGGCCTCATCTGGAGTACTCTGTCCAGTTTTGGGCCCCACACAACAAGAAGGATGTGGAAAAATTGGAAAGAGTCCAGCGGAGGGCAACAAAAATGATCAGGGGACTGGAGCACATGACTTATGAGGAAAGGCTGAGGGAACTGGGGATGTTTAGTCTGCAGAAGAGAAGAGTGAGGGGGGAATTTGATAGCTGCTTTCAACTACCTGAAAGGGGGTTCCAAAGAGGATGGATCTAGACTGTTCTCAGTGGTAGCAGATGACAGAACAAGGAGTAATGGTCTCAAGTTGCAGTGGGGGAGGTTTAGGTTGGATATTAGGAAAAACTTTTTCATTAGGAGGGTGGTGAAGCACTGGAAGGCATTACCTAGGGAGGTGGTGGAATCTCCTTCCTTAGAAGTTTTTAAGGTCAGGCTTGACAAAGCCCTGGCTGGGATGATTTAGTTGGGGATTGGTCCTGCTGTGAGCAGGGGGTTGGTGTAGATGACCTCCTGAGGTCCCTTCCAACCCTGATATTCTATGATTCTATTATTCTATGCAGCTGATTTTAACACTTCCAGTGCCCTTAGAAACTTAGAAGCTTCTCAACATAGGCTGGCTGTTTGCCCTTTAGCCAAGCTCTCCCCTTTGATCAGCACTTCAGTTGCTTGGTGGTGGTGTCTGTAGACGGAGGTGGAAGAGAGAGAGCATGGCAAATGTGTCTCCTTTTTATCCTTTCTTCCCTGTTGGCTTTGCCTTCTCCCCCTTTCAGAGTCAGGTGAGCATTACCTCATCGCAGTTCCAAACTGAGTAAGGGAAGGGGGGTGACTCGCTCAAGAGTCCATCGGATCCTTTGTTGTTGCCTAGGCCAGCGCCTTCTGTTCCTGTGAGTCTGTGCTGGGTTTGTCCCATACAGGCCTTGATGAGGTGTGAATTGCCCCTCTGCTCCTGGAGAGTTTTCCTGGGCTTGTTTTAAGCCATGAGGACACATTTTCAGCCTCATAACTACATACATGAAATTACAACCTATAACATTACTATAACAACAATGCTCAGTGAATCATGAGCCCTCTGAAGACACCTGACATGACAAACTGACAAACTTTGCATTGGATACTACACAATTATATTATAAGGATGAACATGGGAGTGCAGCGTGTTCCCCCAAGGTACAGAGTGTCTAAATATATTATATGTACATATAGGCACTGAGAAAAGTAAAAGAGGGAAAATGGAGGAAAATTGAAAAACAAACAAACAAAAAAATTGAAAAGGGACAAAATCATTGAAGTTTCCAGAAAAAAACCTGAATTTAAAAAAGGAAAAGTATTATTGTTTGAAAAAAGCATAGCCTATGCTAGTTCATACCGCACTCAGCCTAAAATTGGAATGACAAGGATCAGGTAAGTCTGAGGGCTCAAGCTATTGTGAGAGTTGTCTTGTACCACATTTTCTCTAAAATTACTGTAAAAAGAAAGATGAGAGACTAGACAATAATTAATCAAATGTCAGTATCATCGATGGAGTGGCTCTGGGTTTACACTGCTGTCACAGAGATAAGAAAATAGCTCTTCAAGTGAAACTCAGTTTAAATCAAAACCATGAACCAGCTTATGCCTCCTTCACAAAGCCCCAAGAGCTACTTTACTTTTTTTGGTCTTCTGAACAACTTATTTTATGTGCATGTGCTACAATATTAATGGAAAACAAATTTAAGATTATGATTGTAAGTTTCTATTGGTTTTAACAGTTATGTTTAGGCTGAAAGAACAGAAACATACTATGTGATTTATGTGTCCAACAGAAAGAGCTCAAATTTTGAATTGAAAATATCAAATACACATAGAATACACATGGAAAACTTTTCAAGCAGCCCATAGGCTGAAATACATTTGCATAAAATATTCGTTGAATAATTCTGAACAATGTACACATTCACACTCAGGTTGCAGACAACTCACAAGCAGTAAAAAAGAGTTAACTTCAATGAATAAATTGTTTGCAATGCATACTTCTCCCAGTTGTAGTCACAAAGATAACAAGCAGCATTAGACTAGATTATATGTATAATACAAACAAGCAACCACCTGCTGCTAGATTATGTAAATATCCTAAACAGGAGAGGAGTAATATCCACTTTCCAAGCAGCAGCATTTATTTTTTTCTGCTAAGACAGTATTATCCCAAATGTAATACTCTGTGTGGCTCCTATTTGCTGGCAGCTCATAGGGCAGTATGATCGTAGCTCCTATCACAGATTTAAAGTTCTTGCTTTAACCATTATTAATTGACCAAAATGTTTTAGTGATCATAGAATCATAGAATATCAGGGTTGGAAGAGACCTCAGGAGGTCATCTACTCCAACCCCCTGCTCAAAGCAGGACCAATCCCCAACTAAATCATCCCAGCCAGGGCTTTGTCAAGCCTGACCTTAAAAACTTCTAAGGATGGAGATTCCACCACCTCCCTAGGTAACACATTCCACTGCTTCACCACCCTCCTAATGAAAAAGTTTTTCCTAATATCCAACCTAAACCTCCCCCACTGCAACTTGAGACCATTACTCCTTGTTCTGTCATCTGCTACCACTGAGAACAGTCTAGATCCACCCTCTTTGGAACCCCCTTTCAGGTAGTTGAAAGCAGCTATCAAATCCCCCCTCACTCTTTTCTTCTGCAGACTAAACAATCCCAGTTCCCTCAGCCTCTCCTCATAAGTCATGTGCTCCAGCCCCCTAATCATTTTTGTTTCCCTCCGCTGGACGCCCTCCAGTTTTTCCACATCCTTCTTGTATTGTGGCACCCAAAACTGGACACATTACTCCAGATGAGGCCTCACCAGTGCTGAATAGAGAGGAATGATCACGTCCCTTGATCTCCTGGCAATGCTCCTACTTATACAGCCCAAAATGCTGTGAGCCTTCTTGGCAATAAGGGCACACTATTGACTCATATCCAGCTTCTCATCCATTGTAACCCCTAGATCCTTTTCTGCAGAACTGCTGCCGAGCCATTCTGTCCCTAGTCTGTAGTGGTGCATCGGATTCTTCTGTCCTAAGTGCAGGACTCTCTACTTGTCCTTGTTGAACCTCATCAGATTTCTTTTGGCCCAATCCTCTAATTTGTCTAGGTCCCTCTGTATCCTATCTCCACCCTCCAGCGTATCTACCTCTCCTCCCAATTTAGCGTCATCTGCAAACTTGCTGAGGTGCAAGCCATACCATCCTCCAGATCATTAATGAAGATATTGAACAAAACCAGCCCCAGGACTGACCCTTGGGGCACTCCACTTGTTATCGGCTGCCAACTAGACATGGAGCCATTGATCACTACCTGTTGAGTCCAACAATCTAGCCATTCACCTTATAGTCCATTCATTCAGCCCATACTTCTTTGACTTTCTGGCAAGAATACTGCGGGAGACCGTATCAAAAGCTTCGCTAAAGCCAAGGAATAACATGTCCACTGCTTTTTCCTCATCCACAGAGCCAGTTATCTCATCATAGAAGGCATAGAAGGTTAGTCAGGCATGACTTGCTCTTGGTGAATCCATGCTGACTGTTCCTGATCATTTTCCTCTCCTCTAAGTGCTTCAAAATTGATTCCTTGAGGACTTGCTCCATGATTTTTCCAGGG